TCTTACTATGTCCCACTTCTTACATAAGATTTCATGCACTCTGCCCAACAGTTGGCCATAAGTCTGCTTTGATAGTCTACAGGGCAGAGCCTTTCAGAGGCCCTCGGTGGCAGGTTCCTAGGTTGTTTCCTGTTTTCTTCTTCATATGATGTCCATCTTCTTTGCCTTTTGGGATGGGGATTGAGCGTTTTAGTCAGGGTCCTCTCTCTTGATTAGTTTCTTTAGATGTACAGATTTTAGTAGGTTTATCCTATGTTATATGTCTATATGAGTGAGTATCTACCTTTTGTGTCTTTCTGCTTCTGGGACAGCTCACTCAGGATGATCCTTTCCAGCTCCCACCATTTACCTGCAAATTTCATTATTTCCTTATTTTTCATTGCAGAGTAATACTCCATTGTGTTGATGTACCACAATTTCTGCATCCATTCTTCAGTTGAGGAGCATCTGGGCTGTTTCCAGCTTCTGGCTATTACAAATAAAGCTGCTACAAACATGGTTGAGCAAATGTCCTTATTGTGTACTTGAGCCTTTTTAGGATATATGCCTAGGAGTGGTATGGTTGGATCTTGAGAAAGCGCTATTCCTAGTTGTCTGAGAATGTGCCAGATTGATTTCCAGAGTGGTTGTACAAGGTTACATTCCCACCAGCAGTGGAGGAGGGTTCCCCTTTCTCCACAGCCTCTCCAGCATGTGTTGTCACTTGAGTTTTTCATCTTGGCCATTCTGATGGGTGTGAAGTGAAATCTCAGGGTCGTTTTGATTTGCATTTCCCTGATGACTAAGGACACTGAGCATTTGTTTAAGTGTTTCTCTGCCATTTTATATTCCTCTATTGAGAATTCTGTTTAGCTCTTAACTCCATTTTTTAAATTGGATTACTTGATTTGTTGTGTTTTCTCAGGTTGAATATTTTTTAAATTCTTTTTTAATTTTAATTTTATTAATTACAGTTTATTTACTTTGTATTCCAGCTGTAGACCCTCCCCATTCCTTCCCACTCCCCCCTTCTTTTTCTCCTATGCCCCCTCCCAGTCAAATGATAAGGGAGGTCCTTCTCCCCTTCCATCTGACCCTAGTCTATCAGGTCTCCTCAGGACTGGCTTCTTTGTCTTCCTCTGTGGACTGGCAAGGCTGCTCCCCACTCAGGGGGAGGTGATCAAAGAGCCAGCCCATGACTTCATGTCAGAGATGGTCCCTGTTCCTATTATTGGAGAACCCTCTTGGTCACTGAGCTGCCATGGGCTACTTCTGTGCAGCAGTTCTAAGTTATCTCTATGCATGCATGGTCCTTGTTTGGAGTATCAGTCTCAGAAAAGAACCCTGTGCCCAGATTTTTTTTGGTTCTGTTGCTCCCCTTGTGGAGCTCCTGTTCCCTCCAGGTCTTTCTATCTCCCCCTTTTTTCATAAGATTCCCTGCATTCTGCAAAACATTTGGCTACGAATCTCAGGATATGTTTTGATAGCCTGCTGGATAGAGTGTTTCAGAGGCCCTCTGTGGCAGGCTCCCATCCTGTTCCGTTTTCTCCCTCTTCTGATGTCTATCTCCTTTGGCTTTCTGAATGAAGATTGAGCATCTTACCAGGGTCCTCCTTCTTGATTAGCTTCCTTAGGTGTACAGATTTTAGTATGGTTATCCCATATTATATGTCTAGTATCCACTTATAAGTGAGTATATACCGTGTGTGTCTTTCTGCGTCTGGATACCTCACTCAGAATGATCTTTTCTAGATCCTACCATTTGCCTGCAAATTTCCTGATTTCTTTGTTTTTAATTGCTGAGTAGTATTCCATTATATAATGTGTCCTAATTTCTGTCTCCATTCCTCCACTGAGGGACATCTGGGTTATTTCCAGATTCTTGGTATTACAAATAAAACTGCTATGAACATGGTTGAGCAAATGTCCTTGTTGTATACTTGAGCATCTTTTGGATATATGCTTAGGAGTGGTATAGCTGGAACTTGAGGTAGCACTATTTCTAATTTTCTGAGAAAGCGCCGGATTGATTTCCAAAGTGGTTGTACAAGGTTACATTCCCACCATCAATGGAGGCAGTTTCTCCTTTCTCCACATCCTCTTCATCATGTGTTGCTACTTGAGTGTTTGATCTTAGCCAATCTGATGGGTGTAAGGTGAAATTTCAGGGTCGTTTTGATTTGCATTTCCCTAATGACTAAGGATGTTGAGCATTTCTTTAAGTGTTTCTCTGCCATTCGAAGTTCTTCTATTGAGAATTCTTTGTTTAGCTCTGTACCCCATTTTTTAATTGGGTTACTTGATTTGCTGCTGTTTAACTTCTTAAATTCTTTATATATTCTGGATATTAGCCCTCTGTCAGATATAGGGTTGGTGAAGATCCTTTTCCAATCTGTAGGCTGTCATTTTGTTCTGACGACAGTGTCCTTTGCTTTATAGAAGCTTTTCAGTTTCATGATATTGATTGTTGCTCTTAGAGCCTGTGCTGTTGGTGTTCTGTTCAGGAAGCTGTCTCTTGTGACAATGAGTTCCAGGCTCTTTCCCACTTTTTCTTCTAACAGGTTTAGTGTGTCTGTTTTTATATTGAGGTCTTTGATCCACTTGTCTTTTAGTGTTGTGCAGGGTGATAAGTATTGGTCTATTTGCATTTTTCTGCATGTAGACACCCAGTTAGACCAGCACCATTTGTTGAAGATGCTATCTTTTTTTCCACTGTATGGTTTTGGCATTCTTGTCACAAATCAGGTGTCTATAAGTGTGTGGATTTATTTCTGGGTCTTCAATTCGATTCCATTGATCCACCATTCTGTTTCTATGCCAGTACCATGCAGTTTTTATTACTATTGCTCTGTAGTACAGCTTGAGATCAGGGATGGAGATACCTCCAGATGATTGGTTGTTTTAAAGGATAATTTTGGCAATTTTGGGCTTTTGGTTTTTCCAAATGAAGTTTAGAAATTGTCTTTCAAGTTCTGTAAAGAATTGTGTTGGTACTTTGATGGGAATTGCACTAAATCTGTAGATTGCTTTTGGCAGGATGGCCATTTTCACTATTTTAATCCTACCGATCCCATGAGCAAGGGAGATCATTCCATTTTCTGATATCTTCTTCAATTTCCTTCTTTAGAGATTTGAGTTTTTTGTTTTTTGTCTTTTTTTTTTGAACAGGTCTTTCACTTGCTTGGTTAGAGTCACCCCAAGGTACTTTATGTCCTTTGTGGCTATTGTGAAGGGTATTGCTTCCCTAATTTCTGTCTTGGCCCTTTTGTCTTTGCTATACAGGAGGGCTTCTGATTTTTTTTTTTTTAGTTAATTTTGTATCCAGCCACTTTGTTGAAGTTGTTTATCAGCTAAAGAAGTTCTCTGGTTGAATTTTTGGGGTCACTCATGTATACTATCATATTATCTGCAAATAGTGATACTTTGACTTCTTCCTTTCTGATTTGTATCCCCTTGATCTCCTTTAGTTGTCTTATTGCTCTAGCTAGGACTTCAAATACTGTGTTGAAGAGATATGGAGAGAGTGAGAAGCCTTGCCTTGTCCCTGATTTCAGTGGGATTGATTTAAGTTTTCTCCATTGAGTTTGATGTTGGCTATAGGCTTGCTGTATATTGTCTTTACTATGTTTAGGTATGTGCCTTGTATCCCTGATCTCTCCAAGACTTTAAACATGAATGGGTGTTGGACTTTGTCAAATGCTTTTTCAGCATCTAGGGAGATGATCATGTGGTTTTCTCCTTCAGTTTGTTTACATAGTGGATTACATTGATGGATTTCCACATATTGAACCACCCCTGCATGCCTGGGATGGAAGCCTACTTGGTCACTGTGGATGATATCTTTTATGTTCTTGGATTCATGTTTCCAGTATTTTATTGCGTATTTTTGCATGAATGTTTATAAGAAAGATAGATCTGAAGTTCTCTATTTTGGTTGGGTCTCTGTGTGCTTTAGGTATCAAGGTGACTGTGTCTTAATAGAATGACTTTAGTAATGTTCCTTCTGTTTCCATTTTGTGGAATAGTTTGAAGAGAATTGGAGTTAGCATTTCTTTGAAGGTCTGGTAGAATTCTGTGCTGAAACCATCTGGCCATGGGCTTTTTTTAATTTTAATTTTTATTTTTTTCTTATCAGTTACGTTTTATTAACTCTGTACGCCAGCCATGTCCTGATCCCTCATTCCTTCCCAGTCCCTCCCTCCCTCCCTCATCTCCACCGTGCCCCTTGCCAAGTCCACTGATAGGGGGGACCTCCTCCCCATTCATCTGATCCTGTTTTATCAGGTATCTTCAGGACTGGCTGCAAAGCTCTCCTCTGTGGCCTAACAGGACTGCTCCTCCCTTGGGGGGTGGGGAGGCCAAAGAGCCAGTCATTGAGTTCCTGTTAGAAATAGTCCTTGTTCCCCTCACTATGGGAAACCAATTGGTTGCTGAGCTACCACAGGCTACATCTGAGCAGAGGTTCTAGGTTATATCCATACATGGTCCTTGGTTGAATGTCAGTCTCAGAAAAGACCCTGTGCCCAGATATATTTGGTCCTTGTGGAGCTCCTATCCTTTCCTCATCAGACTAATTCCCCTTCTTTCTTATGATTCCCTGTACTCTGCCAAAGGTTTGGTCATGAGACTTTGCTTTGAAAACACTGCTAGTTAGAGTCTTTCAAATGCGCTCAGTAGACTCCTGTCATACGTTCAGCTTTTTTTTTTTTAAGGGATACTTTTGATGACTGCTTCTATTACCTTGGGGTATATAGGACTATTCAATCTTTCTACGTGATCTTGATTTAATTTTGGTAACTGGAATCTATCAAGAAAATTGTTAGTTTCTTTTAGATTTTCAAATTTTATGACGTATAGGCTTTTGTAGTAAGACCTAATGATTATTTGGATTTCCTCAGTGTCAATTTGATTCCTTGTACTCTTATTTTCTTATATTCTCTGAGCTTCATCATTCTACCTGAGCAATTTGGGGTATTTTTGGTTCCCTCTGTGTGGTTTATTGTATCTTTGTTCCTCATCAGCATCCTGTAGCAATGGAAAGTATCAGATCAATGATGAACAAGCAGAGGAGTTGGCCAGACTGCCACAATGCAGCAGAGGAGGTGGGTGAGACTCCATTTGCCAGTCAGCTAATGGATCTGTAAGAGAGAAAGACCCCACACATTCCCCATCCTGCTCTCCTCTTCACATACTCAGAGAGAAGGATCCTAGAGGCAGCACCAAGGGTCAGAAATGATGGGGAATGCAATGTGCAGGGAGGAACAGATGAGTGGCCAGCCCTCTGCCTCTGGTGACAGAGAAGGAGCCATGTCAGCCTCCACCTCAGAGTCCCACAACCACGATGTTCACTCCAGGAGACCCTAAGCCACCTTGACCTTCCTAGTTGTCTCAGGTGGCTCTGCTGCTGGGTTTCCTCAGCCATTCTGAGTCCACTGAGTCTTTCATTCTTTTCTACAGAAGAAAGTAGATCATCTTGTGAGAAAATGTCTGATGGGCAAGAGCCCCAGCATGACTTGTCCTCACCACCAAGACTTGAAGCAGGTGAGTGATGGGAGCAGGCACTGTGTGCTCTGCAGGGGTCTGGAGGCTGAATTCTGAGCTGCTGTTTCCTGCTGTGTTTGCTCTGTACACCCATCATGATGAAGAGATGATCATGCCCTGGTTACTGTTTTTTTTTTTTCTCATGGAATTCTGGATAGTATCTTTGAGGTAAAATGTCTTGAGAAACATCATGAAGGAATCTCACTTTAGAAGAAATCTGGTTGGCCGGACACCATTCTTTGCTGTTGTCTTTTCACAGCTGCTAAGGCCACAATATATAGAATCCATAGGATATTTTTTTTTCTAAATTCTCAGTCTCCATGGAAACCAAGACTTAGCATTTCTATGCCAGTTTATCATTTTTATTATTTCTTTTTCTCAAACTTCTCCAAGTTTGTCCACCAAGAAGAAGTTTTGTATCATCTGACTGATGAAATTCAATGAAACCCCAAGCTGCAAGTTCAATATACTTCATATTACTTGGGCCATATATTTTCTCCACATCTTTTGGTAAATATGTCATCCCTTTATTCCTAAGTCTTTGTCAAGGGGAATTTTTATAATTTTAAGGCTCTGGATATACAGAAGTGATTAAGATTCTGGTATGTTTCAAAATTGACCAAGATGGGAGATCAGAGGTCAAATTTCCAGATGGTTCCCCATGGGATATAGGTTTTCCAAGGCAGGTGGTTAGGTTCCTGTGGTCTGAACCCAAAGTGGAAGTTTAAGGGTCTTTATCCAAAGCAGCGAACTAAGATCTTCTGGAAAATCAGTTTGAGCTCCTCACTGCTGGGCCATCATTGTAGCTACAGCATAAGAACTTTTCATTCTTAGCTTCTCTTGTAGGAAGTCCATCATTCAAAGTTTGTAAGAGACAATTAAGCATTGTCCGTATTGAAAATATTTTTTCTAGAAGAGGACACTAAACCCAAATCCTAAGTCTACTTCATTAAGTTACAGATCAAAGGTTTGAGAGAATTGTGTCTATGGATAGAGATAGAAAAGAGACCATATATGCATATATATTTATATATACATTTATAAAATTTTCTCAAATGATTTTCATTTTGTTTTTGTTTTTTTCAAGACAGGGTTTCTCTGTGTAATCTTGGCTGTCCTGAACTCTCATTGTAGACCAGGCTGGCCTCAAACTCAGAGATCTGGTTGCCTCTGCCTCCAGTAGTCCTGGGATTACAGGCGTGTGCCACCATGCCTGGCTTAAATATTTTTAGACATTATCTTTTGACAGTATTTTTTTTGATTCCCCAATTCATCCCAGATCCTCTCTATAGGCCTACTCAGACATCTTATGTTCTCTCTCTCTCTCCTGTCTTGTTCTCTTTCAAAAAATCAAAACCAACAAACCAATATGACAAAAAGAAAAAAGAAAAGTGAAAAAAAAGAAAGAAAGAAAGAAAGAAAGAAAGAAAGAAAGAAAGAAAGAAAGAAAGAA